TAGGTGCTGTTCCTGAACCGTCTCCTGATGTGCACTATGATGTAAGGTCTCCCAGTGCCCACAGTTTGTTAGCTGGTTGGAACCCTGCTGTGTAGTCTTCAGAATTTACCATGACACAGGTACCTTGGTGAAACTGTTCTGAAAACAACAGTACCTGGAAGAACACCGTCAGGACAGAGAGCTGCCATCACACAGGCAACTCGGAACAACCTGGGCCACACCCAGAGGTGCCCAAGTTCACGGCGCCCACCAGACCCTGGGGATGTACCTGGACCGGCTGCCTGAGAACGAGCTGTGTCTGGAAGACCGGCTGGAGTAGGAGCTGTAGGAAGAGGACCGGGACCGCGACCGCGACGAGCCAGAGCCGGAGTAGGATGAGGACCGTGAAGAGGACCTAGAGCACCCGAGGGGAAGAGAGGAGAGGCTGGGTCTTCCTGACCCCACCCCGCCCACTGGTGTTGGGGCCTCGGGTGCAAACCCTGATGACATGGCTACACTCACACCCCTTGCCGCCTCAGACATACCCACCCAGATCCATTTCCCCCACCCCCGCAACACACCCACACTCACACAGGCATACCCACCCTTCAGACACCTTCGGACATGCTGCAGTCCCATCCCCCTTCTAGTGGGAACGCTATTTAGAAGCCCAGACCTGGGTGCTGGGTGTCTCACTGTCACTGTGACACAGCACCTAGGCCCTCAGTGGACAGAGCCAGGACACGTGTGCCTGTGTGTGCAGGTGAGTATCTAACCGTGCAGACATGTGTATGTGTATTTCTCTATCTGTCCATCTGTGCTCACAGTGAACCCTGAATCCACACTGGTACCTCCAGGCCCCACCTAACACCCCGGCTCCCCGGGCTGCCCCCTTTCTGATCTGTAATGCCTTTCTCTAACAGGGAGCTACCCAGCTCTAACCATCCACCACTTCCTCACTTGTTTGTTCAGAGCTAGTGTACACACAAGTTTCAGAGCTGTTAACCCCAACTCGCAGGAGAAACAGACGGGCTGTCTAGACAATGAGGCTCAAGCTGTTCTGCTGGTCTCTCCCAGGGTGGCCCAGGCAAGCTTTCTCCCCTTGATGACCACCGCCCACCTCAGCTCACTGGCCAGATCTGTGTTCTCCGGGTCACCCACATCTTAGCTGATCTCAACATGTGAAGACGTACCAAGGTTCTCAGCAGCAGTCTTGTTCGCTGCTGCCGCTCCAGCACTCACAACTGCTCTCTCGGCTACACTAACAAATGCCTGTTTAGTTACTGACTTTTCCCCAGGCAATGAGGGTGTATCACCTTCATTGGTATCTATTAACAGTCATTCCCACTAGCTGGCCTCCTTACCTGGAGGAATTGGAGGCAGAGGCTGAAGAGGCTGATGTTTTTCGACGCCTTCGTGCTCGGCTAGGGGAGACCGATAACCCAAGCTTCTTCTTGGGAGACTTAGACCGTCGCCAGGGGTCCTTCCACTCGTCTGCTCGCTTCACCTGTGGCCCCGTGGAGGCCGTCTCCTTCTTTGGTGGCTCAACTTGCCGGCTAAAATCACAGAGGTGTTAGCAATTCCTGGGCCACCTTCCATTTGACAGTATTGCTGTTTGGTGCAAGAAACTGAGAAGCGAGATGATGACGTAACTGGCTTATCTGAGGAATGCCTGGACACTCAAGGGTCATCAAAAGAGGTAGCAGACACTCCACCTACAACAAAACTTATCTTGAACAAGACAAGCAGAGCTCTCCCCATAAATGGTTTCCGCTCACAAGTGTCTTTTTCAGGGAAAGATTCATCTTTCTCCTTCACAGTTCCTAACCCTACTGGTGTTTCCTCTTTGGGGTATAATAATTGATTGAATGCCTATCTTCACTATACTGCAAGCTCTGGGAAGGACAGGGATGGGGTTGTTGGCCTCATTTAACACATTTTCTCTAGAGCTGGCACACAATTAGGGAATTAAAGGGTAATGAAGTATTTTTTGTTTTCAGATGCATTAGAAATGTTGTGAATTATCAAACTCAAGTCTTAAACATTTCCTTTGTTCTGACTTAGGTTTAAGTAGCCTGGTTTAATTCACCCAGAGAACACCCTGATTAAAAACCCAGAGAGAGAGAGAGATGAGCGAGAGGCCCAGAGAAACTCACAGGTGCTCCTATACAATAGCCATTAACTGTTAAGTGTCCAGACTGAGGGCTAGCGGGTTAGTGACAGGAGCACCTGCGAGGCCCAATGGCAATTCCTCTCAAATCCCGGCTGGGCAAGGAAGTACTGATTATAGGTAGACAGACAAGACCAACTGTAAATGAATCAAGGCCTAAATGGGTAAGTGACATGTTGTACTGGAGAACCCGGGAGGGGAGGGAGTCCTGACTGTGGGAGCCTGCCCTCCCCTGCCCAGGGTGGAGAGAACATGGGAGCGGGAGGCTCAGCACCGAGCCAGGTGCCCCTTGTCCTGAAGAAATACCCACAAACTTACACATCCCCACTTAAACGTGAGCTCACGCGCAGAGTCCCAGAACCACTAACAACAGTTTAATATGAAGGTATCTGCTGGCCCTGTGATATATTTTTTTAATTAATTAAAAAATTATATAAGTTCATTAGAAAAATTTTTGGAAAATACAAAGACAAGGAAATAAAAATCCTGTTAGCTCGCTCTCCAGGGACAGCCAATGTTTAGCATTTCTGTATTTCCTTTTCGCCTCTTTTATTTTCCACGATGCACACTCACGTGTGAGTTCACACTCGCTCTAACCACAGCGGGAGCATCTCTTCCCACGTCGTCCATTTGTGGAGACGTGGTCTTTCTTGACTGCGTGACAATTCACTCAGGTGTTACAAAATCTGAACATTTCTACCCTGTTAGCTGTTTCTAACTTTTAAAAAATACAAATAACAGGGNTTGCTCTCTGTCCCAGGGCTGCCCTGTGGGAAGTGGCCGGCCCAGGCACAGGAAGGGGGGCCAAGGGTGCATGTTCTCAGAGGCAAGGAGAGCAGCCATGCCCGGGATGCCCTGATGTCCCAGGACGCGCTATGGGAACCGGTCTACCCCATGCCCAGCATCCCTCCATCCCCCACAGGGCTGTCAGTGCAGGAGGGAGAGCAGGGGTGACACTCAGCCGCCAAGTTCCTAAGGCAACTTGTTGGCCCTCACTCAGTCTCAGTCCCAGGACGACCTTACGGCGTGGGGCTCCCTGGAGCTCCCAACAGAAGTACCTACGGCCTCACCTTATTCAGCAGTGTCAACTTGATCTCCTTGTGGGCCACGAACGCACCCTGCTGGGGCTGCCCAGGGGGTGCCTGCTGCGGGGTGGCGGGCTGCTGGGCAGATTTACCGCCTGTGGAAGGTTTCGAGGATTTGGGCGGTTGTGTGGACGAATCCCTTTTCCTCTTTTCCTCTTTAACGCCATCTTCCTTTTTAGATTTTCCTGCAGATGAGGAATGTTAGGTCATGGTCACCGACCTGGCATGGTGGTTTCCCCGTGCCACTTGGAGGAGCGGAGTGTTATCAGCCAGGTGGTAGGTGCACAGGGACGCAGGTGGAAGGTCACCGCGGTCTGACCAGCTGCACGCAGTGCCGACCCAGGTGACCTGTACCCTCTCTACACGAAGGGCCTGCCCTTCCCTCATCTGGAGTCACAATGCCCAGGACACAAGGAGCCCCTGTACCTTTCTCCTTCTTGGTCTGGGCTGGGGTGGGGGACCGAGAGCTGGCTGAGGACACGGGGCTGGCCAGGTCTGCATACATGTCGTCCGAGTCCACACTGTGCACCGAGCTGCTGCTCGACGTGGCGCTGGACACCGAGGAGACGCTGCTTACGCTCAGGGACCTAGACACACACAAGCCTGTTTGTCCCCACGTGCCGCCGACTGCACAAGACGGGCCGGGGCTGGAGGGGGGTTTCTATGTCCACTTTCTCCAATTCCCATTTTTAAGGAACAGGTACCCACCAACTTGAAATTTCAGAGGGGATTCTGGATAGTTTAAAGGTGACACACAGTGAAGGCACACTCACATCACCAAGTTGAGGCCCCCTATTGTTTGCTGGATAGGGGCATATGACTAAGTGTGACCCAAGAGTTAGTGATGACAAAATTCAGAGTCCCGGTTAATGATGTATGACAAAAGGAAAGGGCTTCAACCCGCAGTGACGCCATGCACTATATCGGAGACCACCTTAACTAACAAACGTTGTGTCTCAGGAAAGCACGGAAATGATGGCCAGACTCATGGGCACTTGGTTCTGTTACAGCTCATGCTGCACAAGGACTCGAAATGCCCGAAGCTGCTACCTCAGTTTTTGCTGAGTATTATTTCTACACTCTGAGAAAACACCAATCACTGTTTCTAAGGTCATTAGATGCTGGAACAGGGGAGGGGGAAGGAAAGAAAGCCCAAGGATTTTTTAAAGGTTAGGTCTTTAAACCTATTTAGAAAGATTTAGGCAAATGTACATAAACCACCTGCTGCCTAGAAATAAAAGAGAAAATTTGATTCAAGGAATCTAAGGGCTGATTCAATACTGTCTTCTTTTTAAAAACTAAATAGCAGAATTCTTTTCTACTTATTCTTTTCTCAGATTTTTAAAAAGTGGCTGTCCCCGACTGCCTCAGGCGTAA